ATAAATCTCTGGCTCCAGCTAGAGGCCATTGGTGGCTGCGTCTCTCCCCTGAACAGAGCTCTGCTGAGAAAGGGTCGCTCTGCTCTCTGAAGGCGCCTGGTGCCAAAGGCCCAAGAGATCAGAGGGAATGAGAAGAGCAGAGAACAGGTCTGGGAGTGTTAAAGGTCTGGTGGGATGGGGCTTGGAGAAACCACATCTGTTGATAGGTGTCCCTGCCCATGGCAGAGGGGTTTGGAACCAGATGAATTTTGAGGTCCCTTCCAGCCTGAGTCATTCTGAGATTCCATGAGCAGAGGGGCCGGGTTGCAGGAGGCCTAATTTGGGAGGAGAACCAGTTCAGCACTCTCGGTTTGGTTGAGCTCAGTGCCAACGTTCAAGAGCACAGACTCACAACTAGTGCCATTTACCAAGACTCTAGACCTTGTTGAGATCCATACAAACTTACACGATCCAGTTTCTGGAGTAGCACTCTTTATTGAAACAAGGGGAAAGCAGTTTCTGGATTGCCAGTCATAAATGCCGTGACTCCAGTGTGTTGATATGTGTTGAAGTAAATAGTGGGGGATCTATTGGTGCTATATTTATGTAATGATAATAGAATATCAAAGAAATGCCCTATGAACTATATTGTAAATATGAATTAAAATAAACCCTATATATTTATAGAATAAAAAAATAGGTCAGCTCCAAGTGTGTCTGGGGATGACAGCCTTGGTGTAATGCTGACCTAAAGCATCCCTTAAGGGGACAAGGGGAAACACTGGGAGAGATATATGCTATACTGCTATATAAAAATAATGTACTATTTAATAGATATATATATATATGTATGTGCTATCGTAAATATCTGTATGTCCTATTGGTTATGAATATATATACACTTCATAAAATCTTCTAAATTTATATCTACAAAATTTCAGGTCAGGTCCAACAGGGTGTGCACAACGCTGACCTACACACGGCCCATTGGGGATCAGTAAGGGGTACGGTCTGGGATGAGGTGATTCTCCACTCAGGCCACTGTGAATACCAGGAGGAATATTAGCGGTGCCTTTCACTTGATCTCTGAGCAGCCAGAGCTACCAGAACGAGTTCCTGGGTCCATCTCAAATGGCCACAATGACCATGAGAGTGTGAGGGGAAAGGAGGGTGAAAGTCATCTTTGCAGGACCCCTGGTCATCACTGGATGCTGTGCTGGGCAGATGGTTGAGAGGCAAATGCTGATGGCAGAGTGCTGCTGCACAGGGTTTTCTCTTCCCTCTTGATCCCAAATCCTCCTCTCCTTTTGCTGCAGTATAAGGTGGTTGTCTGCCTTCAGCTGTAAGCCCCACAAGCACAGATCTTGATGGGAAGACCTCTTTCAATGGCCATAGAGGACAATCCTTTCGATCCGTTCTCCCAGTTCATGGTACTCCATCATAGCCTGGGTGTGGGCAATGGGATCCACTGCCAGCCGATGGAAGAGGTTGAGTGGCTCAGCAGCTTTGACATCCGGAGGCAAGATAATCTCCT